CAGCAGTGGACTCTAAGTGGCCCCTTGGGAACTCCGGGCGAAATCAGAACAGAGACAATATTTGCGATGGATGTTCGTCAGATGGTCGCCAGTATCGCTTCCAGGGATATTAGAGAGTTCTTTACCACCACAAAAATCGAATATTTCGCAATTTCTCCACTCGAGAGTTTTTGAATGTAAATGTATGTAAATACCGTAAAGGAACGCTAAATCAATCAAAATCTGTACGTGTCACTTTTACAAAAATGTTGCTGCCAATCATGTGCGCCATTTGATGGATGACAATGGGTAGTACCGCGTGGGCAAAAATAATAGCGATGAAAAAATCAGCTGAATTGACAAAATGTGAGATCCATTAATCACTATTGATGTTATTTGCAAAAAAATCCATGACATAATCTGGTAGTAATAGTGTTTACCTTCACTTTTCTTTGTTGGAAAAGAATTTTTAGCTTTTTCAAAAAATGAAAGATGATGACACTGTCAGAAAAAACCAAACGGGTACAAGTGAAGAAAAAAGATCTAGCGACAATTAAAAATTAATAAAAAGAATTCATCGAAACTCATGAACAAAAGTAAAAAACGTCAAAATAAGTGTGAGGAAATTCCGAATCTGCGAAATGTCGCAATGACGTCACATGCGTGTTTCTTTGAGCTGGCCTTGAAAAGAATAAATGTAATTTTCACTATTGTTCAGATATTTTTTTCTATTTTTTTAAGAATTGGCATTTTGATATATTACTTCTTCAACCACAAGATGGTGATGTCATTGGGGCGTGTATTTTTATAACCAATGCTTCCTGTGCTGAATTTTTTGTTATTAATTGAGCTGTTCTCAAAAACGAATCTACTCTTTAAAAGCTCAACTCCTCTAACATGTTCAAATTGCTAAAAAGAAGAGATAATGACATAAGACAACCTTAAAATGGTAATTCAGAACATTATTCAGCTTTGCTTTCATGACAAACAAGTAATGATGAATCTATGCTAAGGTCTCTAGAAACTCCAGGCTAGTACGGAGGGACTCCAAAACTAGGACTGCAAACAAAAAAAAATAAATACCAGTAAACTAGACTCAACAAAATGCGCAAATAAGAAAAATGAAACCAAAACCAAAATCAAAATCACATATTTAAAAAATAATAATAAAAGAATAGAGGAAAGGGAGGTATGTCCTTTGAGACATCCAAGACGATATCTGGTAATGCCATACCGTCAACGGTAGCCGCTCCACGAAATCACCAGTAGGCGTCCAAAGTAATTATTTTGTCAAACAACACACACACAAGATTAATTGAATTACGAGTAACTGACCCACAGCTTGCACCATCGTCTGTCCGTTCTCCAATTTTACCATCGCGAACAAAAGAGGAAGGAATCGATTTGTTTTAATTAAAGAGTAGAATTCAATAAACAAGCATCGATACTGGGAAATCGAAATGTTAATTAACATATTTTAATGATGATAGCATTGTCTGAGAAGCAATTATGGTAATAAAAGAAATTACGATCTTTCATATAGAAAAAAATCTCTGCACGTACGTATTTTGCAAGAGCAGAGCTTAAAGCTATTGTTTGAGAAGCATAAAACAGCCACTAGCACAGAATCCATCTCACAGTTATCAAACTGGTTCACCTTGACTAGCAATTTTTTGCGTTTCTGCTCTGCTGAACGAGTTAGATTTTCCTCTGTGTATACATTATTTTAGTAATTGTGGTGTTAATTAAGTCGTTCATTACGCAATGACATTTTTACTAGCTGCCTTGCCGACGATTTTTAGGCACTCGCTTCGCGTCGAGCAATTCATTATAATTCGCAAATTTTCCGACGTCTGTGCCAGCAAAATGGTACTTTCTTTACTTTTTCTGGTAATTAATTAACCGACCATTACATAACTAGTTTAATAGCCGCACCATAATTAACCCAAACGTGAGTTCGAACTCGAATTGTTTTTTAACCAAATATAGAAACTGCAATTGAGAGTAATTTATTAGTTAATTCATTACGATTTTTTCGTTCATGTTTTGCGCAAAAACTGTGTCGAAATTATTTCGGATACTATCCGCCGACTTTCTCTCTTTGAAAAGAACACGCCGTCCATTCAGTACCTTGCTCATTAGCAATTGATTCTCTTTGAGCCAACACAACGTCGCATTCAAATCGGCTAGCATTCAACCGTTTAATTACGTATTTACGAAGAAATCAATCAAAAAATCCGGCAATTAAGCGCAGATGCCACAAAAATCGGACGCTCGGTATGCCAAACTCAGCGCAAAAACGTCAAAGTAGAACTAACTGTAACTACGGACAAAAAAATTTAATAGTGGATTTAGTCACGGTATGAGTCCGACGAGGAATTTGTCTTTTTTAGAGACAATTTCGGAGTTTCACCCATTTTCCCATACTCCGATAGTAAGAGGATTTTCCGCGAAGCGACCGGCGACCATGAGCTTGCAATAACTTTGATAAAAATGACCCAATTCCTGAGAGAAATGGAACTGTGGAGAATTCACGGCTGCGCGGACTCGCAACTTAGTAACCCAAAAAGTGGTAGCACAAAATAAATCTCGCAAACACATTTGTCCGATCCTTTTATAGTAGAACTACTTCTATGCTTCACGGTAATTAAAGAATTAACTTAACTCTTCCAACACGCTTCATTCACCAACCAAATGTTCTTGATGAAGATAAATGTAGTTTAGGCATCTGTTCTTTTTTTATTTAGCAGAAAATGAGAAAACTGCTCAAAAAAAATAGTTCAAAAAACTTTAAGCATGAGCTTCAGAAAACTCAAAATTCTAACATTTCAAAAGATCGATTCCAGTTTTAGATATATAAGTACAATCCAAATAAACAACGTATTGACTACTTTACAGCTAGTTGGACCGTAATTGGAAAGCAAAATATTGACATACCAATCCGGACGCATACTAGTTCAGAAAGACAAGACTTTCTTCTTAGTTAAATGACGCTTATAAAATGTAGAAAACAACAACATGGCTCAACTTTTTTTTTTATTATAATGCACCACATCTTATAAATCTTGTCAGCCACCCACCCCTACAAAACAACTCAATCCTCCTGATAACCATCTACAAGCATACCTTCTCCCGACCGACAGAATTCTCAAAATTTTCCCGATTTGTCACATCCATTCATCGCGAAAAACCTCTCCAGACATTCCGTGAAATCAGTGTTGTGTGCAGACATAATGCTCTAGCCTTTGGCAAAGTCTAATGCTCGCTTGCAAAACTCTCCATCTCGAACGGGGTCAACTGTGAGAAATCAAACAGACTAAGGAAATAACAATCAAGAAAAAAAAGGCAAGCGTCGATCACGGCCACCCACGACATGGAGGAGCGCTCCCGTCGCAAACCCTAACCTCAAAATCGGCGGAAAATGGCGCTCGTGACGTCACTCTGACCCGATTCGCCGCTGTGATCGACGACTCGTGTCTTGTCGCAATATCTATTGTGATTTACGATATGACTTCTCTGTTCTCATATTACGAACGCCGACGAAATTAATTCCATTACGGAGCGATAAAGAGCTCGTAATGAGTGGTTGATAGGGATACGGGGTAATTAGGGTGATTTATGTCGAGTTGTGAGAAAAAAATGTAGATTCGGACAAACCGGTGGGAAAGATTATGTTAAATAAAAGTGGGAACGAACGCATTATGATTGGAACTAAGGCAGTTTCAATTTGCATATGAATAAGGCGACGAGGTGGACGGAGTGAGGCGGAATACGGGAAACAACGAGAGCGAGAGAGAGAGAAACCGGCGCTGCTTGACGCTCTGAAAACTGATTTATGTCAGCGTAATGACGTTTGTTACAAATTGGCTGTATTGTTTCGCTTTTTTGGAAAATTTTTGCCAGCTTTCTAATTTCTCTAATATATATGAAACTTGATACCGGTGACAGTGTTTCGATGGCATATGCTGATTATCGTCCAAAAGTAAACAACATCTGGCCCGCATGACATATGCGACCGTCATTTTTGATTTTTTTGCCAATAACGCGACCCATTTCGGTGGTGGAAACTCGTTATTAAATTTTATTTTTTCACATTAAAATTCACTTTATATGTAAATCCTCCACGAAATTATTCACGCCTATGAGCATTACAAAACACCTGTCATTGAAAAACCCCAGATCTAGACTGCGATAGGGACTTTTAAGTCGCCTACAACCGGGATTAACGCCTCGCTGAAAGAATAGGTCCGCGAAAGGAACCTTTCGGCGCCCGTCGCGGATGTGACGGTCCGACCGACCAGAACCAATTAAATTTTATTAGAATTCCCGCCACACAGACCCAGTTCGGAGTCGATAATAAAATTTGAAGAACCGAGCCTTTCAGAGAAATACCAAGCATTCATCGAACGCAAACGATTCTACCTTTATGGTGCTCGTAAACCAGCCGATGAGATAACATCATCTGTTATTAATTATTGTTCGAAACCGAAGCAATAAATTGTCGGAGTGGTTTTTTCGTTCTGTCATCCACCGGACTAGTCTCTGATTGAAAATCGAACGTTTTCGAAATGAGATGTGGGCGTCTAGGGCAAATAAACCGGAGACGTTCTCGCTCGTTATACACAGATTATCAACATCTGTGTTTGCGCTGTTTTATAGTTTTAGCTTCCGCTAATTGCTTAAGTAAAGTGGGTAATTTGTTGATCGTTTTCCGAGTACAACAAAAATTGCTTTCGATTTTGTGACCCCTGGAGAATTTTTGGCAAGGTTGAGTCCCCCCGGGTGCTCATATCCCGCCGTTTTTTTTTCCAGGAAATTATCGCCATAATCGATGTTTAATTGGTCGATAATTAACAACCATCTACCCATTGGCTAAATAACCGAAGCAATTGCGCTATAATGACATCCGATTGGCTCATTTCAAAATAGTATGAAACCGTATCAATTACTCAGCACCACGCTGAGAGGTGCGTAAATCATCGATGTTTTTCCTATCTTAATAAGATTTATGATTGTTTCAGATCCTTGCATCAACACCTCTCCATCATCTTGGTGTGCATGAAAGAAAGGTGAGTCGGTTTTTGTCCTCATTTTCGAGAAATTGCTGAAAATTGCTCGGACGCAATCACCGAGACAATCTCTGGAAACGTTAGAACGACCGATAATTTTCTCTCTGTTCGTTTTATTCCCACTGTTATTCGTACTTCTTTAATCAGATACCCGATAAATAAGCGTACTCTGTCAGGTGCCAATTTGTAATTTATTTTTGCATTTTTTCACAGCGTTCGTGATAAATCGCTTCTTTCGAGTTATCGTTTACCTCGTTAGAAAAATGGGAATGGTTGTTTCCAAGTGCCGCTAAATCGATTCCGATGCAGGAATGTAATAGTGGCAATTTACGGTGGGAGTGTGAAACTTGGGTTATTTTTTTTACCAAGCTTGCAAACCCAGATTTCGACCAACGAGTTGATCCGAGACTTGGGCTCCACGAAAACGGGCTTTCCATTTTTTGAAATTTATTTTTTTCGAAAAACATTTACGCGTTGTGTGTTCTTTTTAACCGCAACAAACAAAATTCCTCGAGATCGAAAAAGCGGTCTTGGTTCACGGAATCGCCTAATTCGTCGTGAGCGCTTAGTGCCGGATGTGACAAATAACAATCCATCAAATTATCCATTATATCCATATAAAATAGAAGGCGGAACATAATTTCTTCAAATTAAACTGAAAAAGGAATTTCACACTATTAAAAATTTACACAAGCGGTAGGCGACTTGTAATTTAGAAAAACCCGCTGCCAACCAGGAACGGTCCCGCTTCCCCGAATCGCTACGAGACATGCTCGTTAAATTCGTTACGGACCTGTACGAAAAAGCATTTCGTCGGACTGCTTTGTCTAGAAGATTGTCTAAGATTTTCATGGTCGATGGTCTCGAAATTAATAACTATAATAACATGAACAATGAACCAACATTAATACGAAAAAAAAAAATTGACGAAATATATGGGTTATGGCGCGTCCGGTTCGCAAATTGTGTTTCGAAACAGATCGTGAGATGCTGTTTTGAAACCTTTGGCACGATAAAAAATAGATCGGATTGATTTTTTTTTTTGGTGGAAATGCGGAGGAGTAATGCCACCGACAAAGCAAACATCAATGAATAAATTCAATTTGCATAAACGACAGTCATTAACTAATTTCATGTGTTGTTAAAGTGCTTTGTGGGAACACCCGCACGGTTTGTGCGGTGAGCAAGTGACAACTTTAAATTTGAATATAATAAAACGTAAAGCCGGACCAATTTGCATATGCATGTCGTGTCTTGTACTACAAAGAAACTGTAACACCTATGCTAATGTACGTGTATTTGTCAATTCGCACTTGACAGGTCTATAGAAAACCGCTTTTTGACTTGACCACGCTGGAGGAATATATTTATGTTGCACCTGTTGCACAGGAACAAGATAGGTTAAGGGAGAAGACACTCGATCCGTACTTGACTTTTTGACTTAATCTGTCGCTTCTAGAACGTCAAAATAAAATGAAAGCTAAGTACTGCTTGCGCAACAAAGAAACAAATAATCCACTTAATTAGAAACATGTAGCAAAAACCACTTGAAGATTTAGCAAATATTGACCCTAAGGCTAACGACTTTTTTATTAATATAAGCCAACACAACAAATATCTCGACAAGAAAATGTCCTCGGTAAATATAAATAAATGAATAGGAGATATTTATTTGCTTCTTCGACCTGTCGCCTAAAACAGATGAATAAACATGCAGTATACTACAGCGGCTACAAATTATAATCACAAAGCATCCCGCTTCGTTACAATGTATGTTATGTCTATCGTTGGAAGAACAGCAAAACGATGCTAACAGGATCTTACGTTGCTCTCTCTTAAAAAAAAAAATATATTAAGTTTGACAATTACAAACAATTTGACACGGAGCATAATTTGACAGAAAGAGGTCCGGAAACTTGGGGTTCCGCAAACCGACCGAAAGATATAATCAATCATTTGTTTTGACTAAAAATAAAATAAAACCTCATGGAAACTTATCACGAAAGTAAAGTTATCTGAACTATAATTTGCTTTAAAAAAAATGTAATTGAATTGTAACGAAACCTTGTCAAAAACTAACCACTATAGATTTATCGCTGACAATTTCGACAACAACCATTAATATAATGAGTTGTCACATAAATGATTAAATGCAAGAGTTTAATTATCACCGACAAGATTTGCTAACGTTTATAAAAAATCGTGTCCTCTTTCTAGTTTTCGTTACCCATTAAACTAGCAGTCTCGGATATCGGGAACGAGTAGCCCGCAGGAGATACTTGTTCGCGTCGGTTCGGCCATAAATTAGAAACCTCGTTGCCAAATCTCCGTCCGCGTTATCAGTGCACGCCATTAGAAACTGCATTTTCTAATTTCCATCCGAAACAGTTATGGTAATGGGCGTACGTCTCAATTTTCATCGCCTATGGGTCGCCGTCCATAAATTTTAATTTCTCCTTCGAAGATCAAAAGCTCACGCTATCTCGTCCAAACAATCAACAATTGCGCAAGTCATTTCAAGTACATTATTATTAGGCAGCTGGCCCGTGTAGTTATTTTTTTCTCCTTAATATAACGTTCAACATTAACGATCGTAATTTTCGGAAATGGGTCAGCCGATAATTCATTTTGTTACTTGTCGATATTGCGAGACAATCTTGAGTTATGGCCATTTTTATTCGATAATTTGATACAGTTTCGGATCGTGACTCGCTTTTTACTCTAATTCGTTTCTATTGGTATTTTTCGGGGAGATTAAGAGCGCTATAAATTCACGCGGGAGAGGGAAGAGGGGCGGCGGGCGAAACAGCGATACCGACGGCGGGATCGTCGGGAAAATGATTTGTTAGCGGGAATTCCTGCCGGCGGCCGTATCGAGAAAGCTCACGCCATCAGGTGAACATTAGATGCAATTTTCGATGTTGGAGGCGATACATCAAGTTGGCGGCTAAGATTACGCAGGGTGGAGTAATGAAGGATTGATTGGCTCGAAACGTGTTCGCGCTTTTGCAATAAATGGTAAAGCGTCGAATTTCAGCCGGGAAATTTATCGCTCTGTTGTGGAGTGGGTTATTCAGTCTGGGAAACAGCGGAAAGGTGGGGCAGGCGCCAGACGGCCAACCTTTCAAAGAAAATTTTCATCTCTTAGTACGTGTGATTTATCATGTACGTTAAAATAATATCTAGTACGAAATAAATGAAAAAAAAAAATGTGCCAACGTTTCTGATGACTCAAGCTTATGCTTATGCCACTTGGCATCCTCCTCCGTGAAATTAGAAAATTGCAATTTCTATTACGGCTGCAATTAGAGTCCCCCACAATGTTTGTTTGTTGCACCATTTAGTACTGAACTTGGATACCGCAACACTCAAACATGGGTTTAACCTACATCAGCATCAAAGGAGTCTTTGTTGTGTTTTGCACCGCTAAACGTTTAAATACTCGACGATAATGATCCTAAGTGAGTGAAATTTCACGGCGAAATTCTGACACGAATCCGCAACATCCTAGAAAAATTATGCCGCCCATGATTCTGTGGAAAAAAAGCCAATAAACCCATCGTAAAGTAAATCCCACGGACCTTAATAAAACCTTAAATAACACATCACGGTTAACTGGCTGTATATTAAAGATAACGTTTAGCGATTTTTTTCGCATCGTAAAATGATAATTTTAATTGCACTCCGCGTGGTACACCACAAGACGCAGCGCCCGGAGCAGACCAGTATCCGGTGAAATCTCAATTGGAAAATTCTTGCGTAAGGACTTGCGTAAAGCCCTGACCACACGAATCGATTTCCGGCAAGGAGAATCGAGAGCACAGCGTCCCATATGCGCTCCTACCCAGACGTCGCACCGTTTATTTCGGTTCACACTAAAATCAACGTTCACATCAACGTCCGGTCAACGTACAAAAACGGTTTAATTAAACACAGTTAAATAAAACCAACTTTGAACGTTTATTCGGGCGACTTTGCGGCTTCGGTTCCTCATAAATCGGTGGACATGGCACCTACACTTGTACCATTTGTACCTGGGCAAAAACCCGTCGTCCGATAAGCCCCACGATACCATCTCGACCATGTCCACCTGTCCCATTTTATTGATTTAAAACGAAACCGAGTCATTAGCTGCGTCATAATTTTTTATTTGTTTCGATCGCTGGACCCCACCCACGATATTTTTACATTGAATTTAACACGGTCGACCTTAAGCCGAGCTAGTCGCAACAATGGTAACCTAGTCTGTGATACGAGTGCCGTAAAAGTGGCTAGATTTCTTGGCGTGAAGGTAGGCTAAGCTATTTTTGACATTTGACACTGTCGGATGCGGGTCGTTATGGTTTTCGAGCAGGCGACAGACGCTCTTTGTGAAAAAGTCGCGGAGAAAGAACGGATCTATTCCATGAACAAATTCGGATGGGCATTTCTTTGGGTCTTTGTTTATTGTTCGCGGGGAATGACATGCGGGTTCTAGATTTGGCGCGAAAGCTCCCCGGTGATTCCGTTCGGTGCCTATGGAAAGATTTCGTCGAAGGTGATGGTTTTGTGGAGAATTGGATTTGGAATGCGACGATGACGCTCCATGAAAGCAAATAACCGTTTGACTTATTCTGTGATCAGTTAAGGTAATGTCTTCCATAGCTGTAAAATATCATGGGTTCATAATTCTTCGAGCAACACCTTAAATCTATACAAATTTACATTTACATAAAGTTACAATAGAGGTTTACGATATCGGATAGGAGGAATTTGTCTTTATATGCTAAATAACGTGGACAGTCAGGTTTTGAGGTTAAAGTTAACGTTAGTGCCAAACAAAAACAGGCCCACATGTCTCAGTCCTGATGTAGGCATTATTCGACGATTTTTTTTTTTATATATGTATATATCTTGTCATTTCAATGTTTTCTGTTCTCAAAATGTCCCTTCAAAATGCTTTTGAAGGGCTCGGATACCTAAAACGCTTCTGAAAAAAAGTTGTCAATTTCGACAAACAA